TTGGGTTCTATAATTGCAACATTGTTTAGGTCCTGCTCGCTCCAGCTCTGATAGCTGAAAGCAGGTTTCTGGGGATTGTTTAGCTTCTATATTTGCAACAATGTTTCTTAGAGTGCAGCTCAGAGGCCAGCAAGGCAAGTGGGGAACCTTGGCTTCCTCCGTCACTGGAGCAAGCAAGCCTCCTGTTCACTTCAGCTGCCTGGCTGCCGGCCGCCATCTTGGTTGGCAGTTAATTTGCATATCGCCCTGATTAGCCAATGGGAAGGGTAGCAAAGTTATGGTTAATTACCATGTTTCTCTTTTATTAGATAGGATTATAGATGGGAGGGCTCATAGTTTAAAACTCTTCTAAAAGAGTCAAAACAAGTTTTACAGGGGCCATAGTGTGAATAGGTCTCTGGTATTCTTTGCACATAACTCTGGCCCACTCACTCATTTTCTCATCTTTAATTTTTGATGGGTAAAGGAAAGAGAGTGGCATAAGTTGAAAGGTAACGTAAATGCAAAATCTGGAGCGGATACACCGAAGATTTGCTTAAGCAAGATTTACTGAAGTATTAATAAATTTGATTTTTTTATTTCTAAATTTCCATGAGAGAAATGATCTCATCTCTATTACTTCCTAGCTATTCAAATAGTAACACTGAGGTAATTTAAAACATTCCACTCTGGCCATTTAAATGAAGCAGGGGGAAAAACTTTAATTCAGAAAGATATATGCATCCTATGTTCACTGCAGCATATTTACAATAGCCAAGATATGGAAACAACCCAAGTGTCACTGATGGATGAATGGACAATGAAGATGTGGCAATACACACACACACACACACACACACACACACACACACACACAATGTAATACTATGCAGCCATAAAAAAGAATGAAATGTTGACATTTGTGACAACATGAATGGATTTTCAGGGTATTATGCTAAATGAAATAACAGAGACACCATACAATTTTACTTACAGGTGAAATCTTAAAAACAAAATAAATGAACAAACAAAACAACAAAACATACACACAAAAAACTTATGAATACAAAGAACAGATTACTGGTTGCCAGAGGGGAGAGGGATTTGGGATGGGCAAAATAGGTGAAGGAGACCAGTTATAAAATAATTAAGTCATAGGAATGGAATGCAAAAAAACAAAACATAAAAAAAACAAACTCCTTTTCTAACCTAAGACTGCAGTCTAATAGTTAATGAAGATTGCATTTCCAAAATAAAATGCACTCCAACTGGGCTGGCGTGGCTCAGTGGTTGAGCGTCAACCTATGAACCAGGAGGTCACGGTTCAATTCCCACTCAGGGCACATGCCCAGGTTGCAGGCTCAATCCCCAGTGGGGAGTGTGCAGGAGGTAGCCAATCAATAATTCTCTCTCATCGTTGATGTTTCTATCTCTCTCTCCCTCTCCCTTCCTCTCTGAAATCAATAAAAATTGTTTTTGTTTTAATTTTTTAAATGAGCCCGGAGTGTCTTGTAAGTCCAGAAAATTTTAAAGTGCTAAAAAATGGGGTTATGTCAAACAAACACAGGAGCCAGTATGAAAGAGCACTCAATGATCAAGGTAAAATAATATGGGCAAAAAAATTCAATTACATTATATTGGATTGTCACCCAATGTATAAAATAAATATCCATGAGTCCATGCATATATAAATGACTGAATAAATGGAAGAGAAGATATATTCAAATAGCAGAAATTTTCCAAATAAATTATTTAAATTCTCCCCCTAAAGGAAAGGTGTTTAATTCCCACCTCAGTGAGGACTAACTTTAGTGATGTGCACACACACACATCTTAAGAAAGAGAAATGAAACCTCCTGTGCAATTATCTATGGAGTAAAGAAAAGGCACTTCTCACTCACGATGAGAAACAGTAAAGGCAGTTTACTACTCCTAAATTGAGATATTAAAATATATATGCCGAAACCGGTATGGCTCAGTGGATAGAGCGTCGGCCTGCGGACTGAAAGGTCCCAGGTTCGATTCCGGTCAAGGGCATGTACCTGGGTTGTGGGCACATCCCCAGTAGGAGATGTGCAGGAGGCAGCTGATCGATGTTTCTCTCTCATCGATGTTTCTAACTCTCTATCTCTCTCCCTTCCTCTCTGTAAAAAATCAATAAAATATATTTTTTTAAAAAAAACACATATATATATATATATATATATATATATATATATATATATGGCTACTAGTATTTAGCTAACTCTAAAACCACTGGACCAGGAAAGTAACATGATTTAGCAAAGGCAATGGATTTGGAATTGGAAGACGTGGCTGCACTTCTGACGCTGCCCATTATAATTTGGATTTCCCTTTGGGTAAATTACTTAAACTCTCTGAGCATGGTCTCTTAAGAATCAAACAGGGTAAAATAGCTGGTCCAACCCTGAAAGAGATTCAATAGAATTTCAGTATTTATGTACTATCCCAGTTGTTACAAATTTGAAAAAGTCTTCAAAATACCATTTTAAGAACATTTTCAGGACCAAATATAAACTGGTTTTGGAGGTTCCAATGACCAACTGCCCTCCTTAATTGATATGTGGGGACCAAAGAGACTTTATCTATCTGGTACTGAACCATGAACCACCACCCTCTCACTCTCTTCCTTTCCCTACAAGAGGGATTCTTGGAAAAAATGACTCATAACCTCTATTTCCTTCTCACTGAAAGGCAAAGCAGTTTCTGCTTCTATTCTCCTTACTGAAATTGTAAATGGTAAGTAAGGTCATTAAATATTTCCTAATGGAAAAACCCAAAGGGCACTTAAGTTCTTTTATGACAACTCATGAGTTCTTTTTTGGCTGCACTTTGAGGATTGGGGCCATGTCAGCTGGACCAATGCCAGCTTCTGACCCCTGTGCCAAAATGACAAGGTATTCACAACCGTGTTTCCTAAAACAAAGTGTCCTTTTACTTATAAACAATAAACTTGCTTACTTGTTTAAATGATAGGTGGTAGATTTTCATTTTGTTTTCTGCAAACCCCTAAGAGGGAAAGCAAAACCACATGGTTTTAAGTAGAGGTTAAATATTTAGGTAGAGATTAACAGGGGTAAAATATTAAGATCAGAACCTTATCTCGCCAGTTGAAACACAATTTAATGAAGCCAAATATATTTAAGATGTGCCAATCACAAAGGGTGATAGATAAATGTCAATTTCAGGTAGATTTGTAGTCAAGCACTTTGCACAATGTACATCATTTCATTATGTTTTATTTAGAAAACATTAGATATAAAACAATTTCCACAAGGAATTTCATGTGCAAAATTCTTAGACACTATTTAAGAGATTTCATCATGTATCTAAGATAAAGGGGAAAAGTGAATGAAAAGGAAGAGATTTGAATGCATTACAAAGAAATTAAACACAATTTAAAAATTAAAATCTAGGATAAAAGTAAAATATCTGAAACACATATAACAGCAAAGACTATCCAGAATATATAAAAATCTCTTTAAATATGAGGCATGCCTAAACTTCCAAAGAGAAAGCCTGCTTGAAAATACAATCACCACAGAGAAAAGCAGGGGTGAAAGAAAGGGAGACCTGGAGGCCTAATGACGTCACTCTGAGTACTAGCATCCAGCAATGCCTGCACTGACCTACCACGCAGGCTTAACATTTACATGAGCTACTCTATTGCATTCCCTCCTATTGTGTAAACTAGTTTAAACTTAGGTTCTGATTAATATTGCAGATAATTTAGTAATATCTATCAACATTTTAACTTTGAACACTTCTTGCACTAGCAATTTCACTTCTAAACTCCATCATACAGAAATGCTCACCCATGTGCACAAAGATAGATGATAGATAGATGATAGATAGATAGATAGATAGATAGATAGATAGATAGATAGATAGATACAGATGATAGATACATGAAGCACCACTTATAATAGCAAACTTTTAGAAAACAAACAAAATGTCCATTAACAGGAGAATGATTAAATATTACACATCTACACTATGAAACACCATAAAACAATGCTTTTACTCAGAATGAAATGGGGAACTATTGCACAGCTTTGAGAAGAGAGATATGGTCTGACATACTATAAAAGAAACCCTGCGATAATACTAAGACTAAACTGTGGTAGGACGGGGAAGAAGCACGGGCTGAACAGATTTGTTAGGATGCCAGTGCAGCAATCCAGGCAAGAGATGATGTGACCAAGGTATTAATGGTTATGGCAATGGTTAGAAATGGTGTGACTGTCTGTATACATTCAAATATATACATACACACATACACACATACGCGCGCATGTGCGCGCGCACACACAGACAGATTTGCTAACTGGGAGAGGTATAAGAAAAAGGAAGGACTTAGGAATGGCCCATAGTTTCTGGCCTGAGCTGAAATGATGGAGTATTTTCTATCTTACAGATGAAGAATCTGAACTACTCAGAGATTTAAAAACCTGTCCAAGGTCACACCAATAAAATGGAGGAATCAGGAAAACCCAGGTCCATGTGAACACAACTCTTAACCACTATGCTACGCTGCTTTGTTTTTCTAAGGATCGTTAGTATCTGTTATCATGGTCAATATGAAAGCATATTTTCTTAACATGAACTAATAAAAAATATTAAGAATTAAATCATATATTTGCCAAATTAAAATATTTGTTAGTGATAGGCTATAATTAATTACAAAACTTTAAGTGACCTTTAGTCAGCAAATGGTTTAATACTGAGTGGCATGATGAATTGTAGCTGAAGAGCTTTACTGCCCTCCAAGATAATAAGCTTCTTGAAATCTCATTATCTATGACACCAAACTTCCAACAAAGAAAAATAAAGACAAGCAAATTTGTTATTTGTACTAACACTTTAAACAAAGCAAAGTGAAAAATACATACATACACATATTAAATTTCTATGTTCTTCTCCAACTTGAATGAGAAGACCAAGATTCTTGGACTAGTTTCTGGATCTAAATTAAAGACAGTAAAGCAAAACCTTTCTAATCATTTCAGACTCTTCCATTCTTTTTGTGTATGCCCGAGCACCTTCATAACTGTAGTGAATCTATAAAAGGTACATTTTAGGAATCTCTGTCAGTTTACTAATGTGAGATGAAGTTCAAGGAAGTAGAAATTATATAAGACACTTTTTACAGGGGACAAGAGAATTATCCTATACTAGAGGCCTGGTGCACAAAATTCGTGCACTTGGGGGTCCCTCAGCCTGCGCCCTCTCGCAGTCTGGGAGCCCTCGGGGGATGTCCAACTGCCACCACCGCTGCACTCACCAGCTGTGAGCCCGGCTTCTGGCTGAGCTCGCTGCCCCTTAGCGCTGCCTGATGTGGGGGAGATCACAGTTTATCAAATTCATGCCTTCATGAGTGTCAGAATTTTCCACTAAGGCTCGTTTACTGAGCCCTTCACTCAGTAGCATGCTAGCAAATGTGTAACTGCCTCAGGGAGGGGAAAAACGCCTGGTTATATCACTGGTTTGTAGCACTGGCTGATTTCTGTGGTGTAAAAACTCCCACATAGCTGGTCTTCAGTTACAAGCATGAAGTCAACTAATACAGACTTGCAGCAGCACATGATTGCTCTCTGTCCTATGACTCTGTTTTATTTTATTTTTTTATAATACTTTTACTTTTTGCTATTATCTGTTTAGGTATTTATTGACTGTCTTCCTAACAGGAATATAAGCACCATAAAGGCAAGGACCTTGTCCATCCTGTTCTCTGTGTCCTCAGCAAATACAAAGTCAAAGTAATTGGAAAGATTCCCAAACTTAAGGAAACTGTAAAGTATAAAAAAGAAAGAATAATTCAAGCAAAATACTAACACCATCAATATCACTAACACTGCTCCTTTTGTTTGGGAAAAAAAAGAAAAACGATGACCAGAACTACCAAATGCTTAAACATCTTGTGCTCAGACAATAAAAAATGGGTCCGGCAAAGCCACTACCAAATAAAGGACAACATTTACAACCCATAGCAGGCAATCTTATCATCCTTAACAATGCACAGGCAGTTATTTTATGGTTATAGAAAGGGAAACAAATAAGCCATATATTACCATTGGTTTATGTCTTATTAATCCAGCTTGCAGGCCTCCCTTCCCATACCTTGAATTTACCTTACCTGCGTTAATTAACATCCGTAAACATTCTATAGAGTTGTGATAAGCTGCTTCATGAATTGGCATCCATCCCCTATTATCAGCAACATCAACGCTCCGTCCCTTTTTGAGCAGTTTTCTTAAGACTTGAACATTGCCTTCCCTTGCAGCAAGTCCAACCGAAGAGCATGTGTCAGAATAAGCCTCTGAAAAATCCATTCTTTTGACCAGTCTACAAAACAAGGCAGGAAAAAAATACTAGTGTCAATAAAACACTGAACTCCTAGAGATTAGCAGATCGAAGTGGACCTGTCTAACATCCCTCACATGAGGGCTGAGGAAGAGTCTGAGATGGAGAAAGAGACCTGTCAAGCCAGAGCCTCTGCTAGTCTAACCCAGGAAGTCTCTCTGATGAATTGAGATTCCTTGGAATATTTTTATTAAAGATAGCAAGAGAATTTTAAGTGTTCTATCATTCCTTCTCTGGAAATGTTGCCTGAGCAGCTCCTTCCTGCAGGCTTCTGCACCTACTCATATCCCCATTAAAATGTACTCACTAGAACTCTGTTGATGAGAGAGAGAGAGAGAGCTAAACACCTCCAGTTAATCCCAAATGCATACAGAGTGACCAGTAATGCTCAGCCTCAAGAATCCTATATAATAAAAGGCTAATATGCAAATTGTCTCCTAAGGAGTTTGACCGGGAAACTGGGAGTTTGATTGCTCACTATGGCATGCACTGACCACCAGGGGGCATCTCGGAACATGGTGGGCGACCTGCACTGAGGTGGGGGCGGCGTGGTGTTGAGGGAGCGAGGGAAGGAGGAGGTGGGGAGGCAGGGAAGCAGAGAACCTGATCGGCCCTGATCACCAGCCAGGCCTAGGGACACTACCTGTGCATGAATTTCATGCACTGAACCTCTAGTTAATTTATAATCCTCTATAGCTAAAAGCTAAACCCAAAGGAGTTAAAAAAGAAGTAAAGGACATTGAAAAGAACAAAGTATGTAAATCTACTTTTCCTGCCACAGGCGGTCCTTTGCAGAAGGGGCTAGAACACTCAGGTTCTCTTTCTTTGATAAAACAGTGCCACTAACTGAATATATTAAGATGCATTAAAAGCATCAAAAAAAGATGAGTTCACCTTTCCTACACAAGCCCAGAAATTTCTTCACAGCATTATTTCCCTTTTCCTCATCATCTCCCTTCAAAGTTCATTTCAAGTCAATGCCCAATATAGTTCTCAATATATAACTCTCACAAAGACAATTTCTTGTTAGTCACCCTATGAGGTGGGTTGGGCTAAGATTCAGAATTCTCAGGGGACTATCTCCTAAGGGATAGTCCCTCTCAGTAACATTCTGATCCCATTTTTCCTCTTAGTTTTGCTAATGATATTGGGGGATAATTCAGGAAATACCAACAACATGTCTAGTCTGATACAGGTGAAAAACTTTCTAGAACCACATTATAAATAATTTATCCAGAAAAGAAAGATTTGCGGAAAGAGGTTAAAAGAAACCACACAATATTTCTAATATTAAATCTAAACTTACACATGGTCACATTTAAATATAAAGCTGTAACTGCACAAGTTGATTCTACAATGAGCCAAATAGCTAAGGTTAGCTATGGATGAATTTGATCAGGTCAACTGGCCCATTACTAGGAAAGTGAAGATATTTATTCCAGAATATTTAATTACTCAGTTAACAGTTATTTACTGAGCACCAACTAGATGATTAACAATGTGGAGGATATAAAGATGATACAGACACAGATTCTACCTCAAATTATGTACAGTTACATAGTAATGATAAATACATGTGATTCTAAATAAAAAGCAGAAAGTGCCATAAGAGAAGTACAGATAAAGAGCCATAGTAGTCAAAGAAGAAAGAACTACTCCAACTTGGTGAGGGATATAAGCTGGGCCCGAAAAGAAAGATGGGGAGGATTTGACAATAGGCAGAAGCAAAGACATAACAAAGCTTACAGAAATAAACAGTTGAGGTTGAGTAAAGGACAGTAAATAAGAGAAACAATTATTTCACTTTGTTAAGGAGGATTAGGTAAACAAAGAACAGTAGAAAAAATGAAGTTATAGAAGTAACTGAAGCCAAAACTGTGGAGACTTTTGAATATTAAGCTATACTTTTTTTAACTATGTTAATTTCTAGCCAAGGCCATTACATCCAAGTTACACATACACACACACACACACACACACACACACACACACACATTTTAAGGCAATTGATAAATATATTCATCTAATGCAAGAAAAAACATTTTGATGTAGGTCTCTCGTAGCAATATGTTTATGGATTCATCTCCTAGGGCAAAGGAAACTAAGGAGACAAATAGGACTACATCAAAATAAAAAGTTTCTGCACATCAAAAGAAACCATCAAGAAAACAAAAAGAGAGCCCACTGTATGGGAGAATATATTTGGCGATGATACATCTGATAAAGGGTTAATATCTAAAATATATAAGGAACTCATACAAATTAACAGAAGGAGACACCCTAGCTGGTTTGGCTCAGTGGATAGTGTTGGTCCTCGGACTGAAGGGTCCTGGGTTCAATTCCAGTCAAGGGTATGTACCTCCATTGCAGGCTCGATCCCTGGTACTGGTCAGGGTGTGTGCAAGAGGCAACCAATCACTCTTTCTCTCTCTCTTTCTCTCTCTCTCTCTCTCTCTCTCTCTCTCTCTCTCTCTCTCTCTCTCTCCTTCTCTTCCCCTCCCTTCCACTCTCTCTAAAACTCAATGAAAAAATATCCTTGGGTGAGGATTTTTTAAAAAATTGGGCAAAGGACCTAAATAGACACTTCTCCAAAGTGGACATACAGATGGCCAAGAGACATATGAAAAAATGCTCAAAGTCACTGATCATCAGAGAGATGCAAATTAAAATGACAATGAGGTATCACCTCACACCTGTCAGAATGGCTACCATCAACAAATCAACAAATGACAAGGGCTGACAAGAATGTAGAAAAAAGGGAACCCTAGTAACCTGCTGCTGGTAATGCAGACTGATGTAGCCATTATGGAAAACAATAAGGAGTTTCCTCAAAAAATTAAATATGGACCTGCCAATTGACCCAATGATCCCACTTCTAGGAAACCCAAAATACCAATCAGAAAGAATGTATGCACCCCTATGTTCATAGCAGCACAATTTACAATAGCTAAAATATGGAAACAGTCCAAGTGCCCATCAGTAGATGAGTGGATAAAAAAGCTGTGGTACATTTATACCATGGAATATTATGCAGCAGTAAAAAAGAAGAATCTCTTACCCTTTGAGACAGCATGGAGGGACCTGAAGAGTATTATGCTAAGTGAAATAAGTCAGTCAGAGAAAGACAAGTATCACATGATCTCACTCATATGTGGAATCTAAAAACAAAATAAACTGATGAACAGAGTGGATCCAGAGACATGGAAGCATGAAACAGAGTGCGGAATCACAGAGGGAAGATGGGGGAAGGTGGTGGGTGGGAAGTAATCAACCAAGGACCTTGTATGCATATAGTATGACCCATGAACACAGACAGGGGGGTTAGGTACGGGCCTGGGGTGGGGGGCAGGGTAGTCCGGAGGGAGTCAATGGGGGGAAAAGAGGACATATGTAATACTTTCCACAATAAAGAATTATTTTTTTAAAAATTTCATTGTGGGAAAACCACATACAAACACAAACAAGAACACTACTCCAGCCAAGCCAGTGTAGCTCAGTGGTTGAATGTCGACCCATGAACCAGGAGGTCACAGTTCCATTACAGTCAGGGCACATGCCCAGGTTGCAGGCTCAATCCCCATTAGGGGGCATGTAGGGGGCAGCTGATCAATGATTCTCTTTCATCGCTGATGTTTCTATCTCTCTCCCTCTCCCTTCCTCTCTCTGAAATCAATAAAAACATATATATTTTTTTAATCTCAGAGGAAAGGTGGGGGTGGGAGAGGTGGGGAGAAATTAACGAGGGAACTTATATGCATATATGCATAGCCCATGGACACAAATAATAATGTGGTGAGGGCCTGGGAAGGGTGGGTAGGAGGTGAGAGGGTCAATGGGAAAAAAGGGGGGAGGGACATCTATAATACTTTAAACAGTAAAGATAATTTTTTAAAAAAAGAACACTGCTTCAAAGACATTAAAAACAGAATTTGAGTAAAAAAGGTATGCATCTTTTTCCAAATTTTACTGACTTTTCTCATATTTAGGACGATGTTAATGGATCCAGATTATAGGCAATAATTTGAAAAACTATCTTTGAGATTCTTATGGGAAGGAGAGTCAAAAGTAATGTACTATATAATAGCAGGATCATTCCCTTCAACCCTTATACCAATTAGTTAACATGAATAAACTGTTTATGGTCTCCTTTTATACAAATCTGCTTATGTTCTAGGCCAAAAGAGAATGCAAAAGAAATCACATGTGATGTATAAACTCTGGATCCTGCTTGGTGGAAAAAATAGCTACAAAAGCAATTCAAGATAATTAAGGAAATTTGAACATGGAATAGATATTTGATGATTTGATGATTATTATTGTTAATGTTCTTAGATGTAATAATGGATGAAGTTGTTGTTATTAGGAAAATGTCTTTATTTTTATAAGTATTTAACAGTGAAAAATCGTAATATATACTAGTATAACTTACCCTAAATGTTTCAGATTAAAAAGTATATACAGAGCCCTGACCGGTTTGGCTCAGTGGATAGAGCGTCGGCCTTCGGACTGAAAGCTCCCAGGTTCGATTCCGGTCAAGGGCATGTACCTTGGTTGCGGGCACATCCCCAGTGGGAGGTGTGCAGGAGGCGGCTGATCGATGTTTCTCTCTCATTGATGTTTCTAACTCTCTATCCCTCTCCCTTCCTCTCTGTAAAAAAATCGATAAAATATTTTTAAATAAATAAATAAATAAAAAGTATATACAGAGAAAAAAGAAATAAAACATCTGTAGCAAATGTTAATTATTGGATTCACACAGAGGAAATATGAATGGTTATTGTACTCCTTTTTTTCCCCTCCAACTTTTCTGTATGTTTGAAACTTTTAAAAATGTTGGAGGGTGGAGGGGAACTAACCATTCCAGGCAATGTGAAACTACAACTTGGAGAAAATATAAAAAGACCTGGTTATTCTTAAACTCAGCTTTTCTTTATAGCAGTTTCCTACTGATTTCTTAAGAGCAGAAGTAACTCTTTGAACCTGAGTGCTTAGCATTTTTAATAAAGGTAAAGACTATGAAATAGAAATCCTCAAGAAAGAACAATCATTTGGTATACAGAAACACAGCTGTGATAGTCCAAGTGAGCTTCCTATACAGTATTTTCAAACAGTAGCTCTCACCAGCAGATCGTAACACTTTTTAGGATCCTTGACCTGTTGGAAAAACTCATGAAAGTTGGAAAAACTCATGAAAGATATAAAGTTTCTCCTCAGAAAAATACCCGTAGACCCCAAATTTTGTATAGTTTCCAAAGTCTGTACCTGAGCTGAGAACCTTTGCCTACTCTTTTCTGAGCTGCTCAGAATACTAAAGACGAATAAGGTCGTTTTCGCATAAAATTTAAATATATAAGCAAATTTCATTGCATTAATAATAGCTCTTTCACAAGCATATAAATTCTGTGATAAATTTCCTGCTTCTATTTGAAAGTTGATTTTTAAAAGTGTAAAGCCGAATATGGATTACATTCCCAGTTTGCACTCTTCTGGCTGCTGTTAAATGAGCAGAAATCCCGTTTTCAAAGTGGAACAAAATGACTTTCTACGTGCCAACTGCCATACACATATCTTTCTGAGTATCTAAACCACACCGGCCAAGACTCCTGCCCTTTCCATTCTCCTTAACAAGCCGTGTTCGAAAACAGTACACAGTTCCAACCTCAGAGGCACACATCCCAGAAAGGATTGTGGGTATTGTAGTCTTCTGCACACGCGCACCAGAGGAAGGTCAAGGTGAATACTAGAGGCTGCAGGAGAATCTTGTTTAGCATACAGAAGGTCCACGCTTCTTGCTTACCCTAAGCAAGGAAATAAAATAACATTGACCGAAATAGAGCCAGAAAACGCACCTCGAACTTCAAGTCCCAGTATGCTTTGCGCCACCAACCAGGGATTGCGGCTATCAGCGCCTGCGCCCAGCGCAGCCGGTACGCGTCCGGCAAGCCGCAATCCAAACCCGTTCTGCCTCCACAGCCGCTGCAGAGGTGCTGACGAAAAATGTGGGTTTTTGGTTACGGGTCCCTGATCTGGAAGGTGGACTTCCCCTATCAGGACAAGCTGGTCGGACGCATCACAGGCTACAGCCGGCGTTTCTGGCAAGGCAGCACAGACCACCGCGGAGTCCCGGGCAAGGTAAGCCCTAGCCGTCCCCCAAACTTACTGTCCCCGGAGCGCTGCTCCCCACCTGCTGGCCCACCACCGCGGGACCCACACCCCAACGCTTCCCAGGGCCAAGCTTGTGGGTTAGGGATCATGCTGTCCTATCTGTGCTTCTTCCTGTGCCACCTGCCTCCAACCTCTCCCAAACCTAGGGTACTCCCTCCGAAGCCGCTTGAGGCTGGTGGTTAGTTTCGTGAGCAGGCGAGAAACAGGACACAAGCACACAGGCTCGCACAAGGCTGACGTGCTGGCAGGGGCCCCTATCTTGGCAACCTCTGCCCCAAAAAAGGCGGGAAGATCAATCTTTGAGTCACCACGGAGTTGAAATACTAAAATCAACTTGGAAATTCAGCTTTCTGGCCATTAAAATTGTTGGCATTTCTGCATTTGGGAAGACTTTCATTGGTTTGAATTTTAACGTATATGTTATTTCTGGGGTTTCTTTGTATCTATCCAAAGATTTATTTTATGACACCTAAGGTCATAGAAGAACTCGTTTCCAAAATTATTTTGGGTTATTAAGGAACTTACTCTGATCACTTTGATTAGATGTTAAGTGAGTTCCCCGTTAGTTATTTGAATAACACAGTATCCATTAATATATCATTATTTTAATGTTTCTGGATGGTTCTTCTCTGAAGTATAAATGTGAAATGTAAGTTCTTTGATCTATTTTTCAGTCAGTCATGCACTCATCTCATATTTGTACAGAAAAATAGTAGCAGCTCACTGCTTATGGAAATCAGCCTTGTGCTGGCTGAAAACAACTAATCCGTAAGGAACACTGAATTTGAATAACTAAGTGTGGATAACTTGAACACTTGTTTTAATTAACCTAACTTTTGGAAGAGCACAAAAATTTTTATTGCTTATATTTTCTTTAAAATACTCTGAAAGTTGTAGTAGCTTGATTACCGCTTTTCTTCTTTTTCTTTATTTTTATTGTTGATACTATTACAGATGTCCCCATTTCCTCCCCTTTGCCGCCATCATCACACTGTTGTCTGTGTCTGTGGGTTATGCATATATGTTCTTTGGCTAATCCCTTCACCTTCTTGCATCCTGTTCCCCTTCTCCTCTCCCTTCTCCCCTCTGACAACTGTCAGTCCGTTCCATGTATCCATGCCTGTTTCTATTTTGTCCCTCAGTTTATTTTGTTCATTAAATTCCACATATAAGTGAGATCGTATGGCATTTGTCTTTCTCTAACTGGCTTATTTCACATAACATAATCTGATAAATACATAATAAAATACTCTGAAAGTTGTATGAGTTTGATTACAGTTGTTGTTTTTTTAAGAAATAAATATTGGCCCAAAAGCATGTTATCTAAAATGTTAGAAATTAGATGCAGAAAGAAATTGGGGTTAATTCCAAAGAAATACCTACAGTCCTGGAAAGAGGGGCTGAGTAGGGCCCATAGTAGCTTGCACCTGCTAGTAAAGAGACATAGGATTAAAATCACAAAAAGAGCCTGAGTTAGAAGTCATTCTACCTCAACTAGAGTTGGTTAATTAAGAATTTGACTTTAGCCGAACCGGTTTGGCTCAGTGAATAGAGCGTCGGCCTGCAGACTTAAGGGTCCCAGGTTCGATTCCGGTCAAGGGCATGTACCTTGGTTGCGGGCACATCCCCAGTAGGGGGCGTGCAGGAGGCAGCTGATCGATCTCTCTCATCGATGTTTCTAACTCTCTATCCCTCTCCCTTCTTCTCTATAAAAAATCAATAAAATATTTTAAAAAAAAATTAAGAATTTGACTTTAAGGTAGGTGACTTGAAAACAGGGGAGTGACTTAGAGCAAATGCATATTTATAGGCCAACAGAAACTTCATGGCCAAAGTATCACCAAGAGTGTTATAAAACAATATTTAATATTTTAAGAACTAAGTTAAATAAAATACCTTTAGGATAGTCAGATCTGAACACTTAAAATTGCCATTCTGAAGAGAAAAGCCTTAGCCTAGGCCAGTGATGGCGAACCTTTTGAGCTCGGTGTGTCAGCATTTTGAAAAACCCTAACTTAACTCTGGTGCCGTGTCACATATAGAAATTTTTTGATATTTGCAACCAGAGTAAAACAAAGATGTATATTTTTGATATTTATTTTATATATTTAAATGCCATTTAACAAAGAAAAATCAACCAAAAAAATAAGTTTGCATGTCACCTCTGACATGCGTGTCATAGGTTCACCATCACTGGCCTAGGCTCTAATTTTAAGGACCAAATATTAAATATTTACAAGTAAGCTCAGCAGGTCTTGCTCAGTAGTTGAGCGTGACTTATGAATCAGGAGGTCACAGTTTGATTCCCAGTCAGGGCACATGCCCAAGTTGAGGACTCAATCCACAGCGGGGGCGTGCAGGAGGCAGCCAATCAATGATTCTTCTCATCATTGATGTTTCTCTCTCCTTTCTCTGAAATTAATTAAAAATATTTAATAAATAAATATTCGCGAATAAGGTTTAATAGCATATTTTACTACTCTAGTCTCAACCAAATGTTTGTTTGTTACATAACAATTGAGATATGTACACTGTGAGAATCATCTGGTAAGAAATTATCAAGTTAATACAACATGGTTCTTTAAAAGAAGACAGCCATAAAAGCCAGTATTTCTCTTTTTATTTAAATTTACTAAAAGATAAGGCAGGAAAGTTAGGAGGGAATAATTGCAATCGTCTTTAAAACTGTAATAGTTTTACACCTACTTCTATTTAAATAACCTATCCTAGAAAACTAAAGAAGAGTCTAAGTACTAAGCATTTTTTTAAAATATATTTTTATTGATTTAAGAGCAGAAGGGAGAGGGAGAGATAGAAACATCGATGAGAGAGAATCATTGATTGGCTGCCTCCTCCACGCCCCCTACTGGGAATGGAACCCACAACCCAGGCATATGTGCTTGACCGGAATCAAACCCCGGACCCTTCAGTCCATAGGCTGATGCTCTATCCACTGAGCCAGTACCATCTAGGGCAGTACTAAGCATTTTCTAAGTATGCTGTTCTGTTAAAAAAAAAAAAATGGAAAAACATTATTATTCACTTCACATTTTTCATAACAGTGGATCACCAACCTTATATAAATATTAACTGTCTGACATGATACAAAAACCTACAGAAGTACCCATCAAATCAAAATAACATAATTGCTATATAGGACTATGATTTTTACAGCAACATGTGCTCCTAGTAGGTAGGTCATCATTCCGTATGAAATGTAATATTTTTAAACAAATGTTAGACTTATTTCTACACTAGTGGCCCGGTGCACGGATTCATGCACATTGAAAGGAAACTAATTAGAAGAAATATTTTAATATCAGGCTCCCTCCTCTCTGGTTCCGGGGTGCGTCACCCGAGAACCACCGCTACCAAGTCACCGTAGCTCGGCAGCTCCTGCGTTGAGCGCCTGCCCCCTGGTGGTCAGTGTGTCATATGTACCGGATGATCAGATGGTCACTTAGCCTTTTATATATAGAGAGAGATTCTGCAAAGGGCTATTTACTTTATGAAACTGTGCTTTCTTTTTGGCTTCACTTAATTTTTTTACTAAGTTTAATCAAGCATTTCATCTATACTAATAATCTCATCTATACTAATAATACTAGTATATGCTATTTGTTTGGGACACCATCACAGTAACAACTGATTGGCAGGCTGCATGCGCAGCAGGCATGGGTGGGTGGGGACTTGCAGAGTCGGGGATGGGGGTGGGGCCTCTCCCCCGGCTCCGGCCAACCTCTTTGGGGCAATCCATCGAGGAGCCCCGGATGGGTGGGCCAAGCCTACCTCTTTGGGGCGATGGATCGTGGGGCTCCTGCACTGTGACAGGGCACAGGCCAGGCTGGGGGAACCCCCCACACACACCCCGAGTGCACAAATTTCGTGCACCAGACCACTAGTTTATATATAAAAAACTGGCCATTTCTCAATCAAATGAAAGATTTATTTAAATGTGAAAATTTTTTCACATCAGAGAAAATTTTCATTTCAAAAAAGAGGAAACATTTTAACACAAGATAATTGTGAACATTTACTAAATCCCTAACTTTTCTAGAGCAGCCTTAATTACGGGTGTGTTTTTTAATATCTCCATTTTAAGTCAACATACCATGTAACTAATATATGCAAGTTGAAGGGAATGGCTTATAAAGGCCAAAATAGTATGGATAAAGCAGATTCTCTTAATTCACTTTAAAAGTTATCATAAAACATAAGAGCTTTTTTTAAAAGTGTCTTGTATGAGCAAATGAAGTTTAAATATCCCATGTCAACAATAATTTGTTAATGCTTGGTTAGTTGATGAACTTTAATTTAGAGAAAAAAATGTTTGTTTTACTTATTTGTGTTTTGTTTTGTTTTTTACTTTTTTAAAAAAACAGCCTGGAAGAGTTGTGACTCTTATTGAAGATCCTGGGGTATAGTATAATTTTTTTTTTTTTTGTATAGTCTTTAGTTACATAAGTTGTTGAGCTGTTTCTCAATTTTAAATTAAATCATACTGACAATCGTTACAATTTCAACTGCACTAGATCTAGAATTCCTCTCTATTCATCTGTTGAAAAAAGTTGGATGCAGAATGCAAGGTACACAACAAAAGAAAAACAAATGGCATGTGGTCTCATTTATTTTTCTTAATGAGTTTGTTGATTGAGAATTTTGTGGTCCTCTTTTACATGAATGGAGCCAGCCCAACTACCATTAAGAATGAAATGGAAACCTAAAAGCTCTCCTCACATTTACTAGGAGTCTAATACAGGGTGTCCCCCCCCAAAAAATGTATACATACTGTAACAGCTGATAGCTCACTTTTGAAAATGAAATATATTTTAATAAACACTGCCTTTATAATTATTCAAAATGTGTATATACATTTTTGGGGTACACCCTATATTTTCAACAAAAACCCCAGGCAGGAATTATTGCTTTCTTTATTGTCTAAATTTATCAATAGCACAACAAGTTTTTTAACAGGTTTGAAGCACTAGAAAACTTTTATTTACTCAATAGTCCTGTTTCTTAAATATTTTCAGTCATTTTATTGAGGTATAGGTTAAGTTTAATACTGTGAAATTAAAGATTTACCTGTGGAAAGGACTTTGACATACAAAAATCAGCAGCTAGCAACAGCAGATAACTAATGGTAAAATTATGAAATGCTTTCATAATTTACATTAGGAATGGCATCTATAATAAGGCTTTAAACTAGTAACTATAAATCTTAATTAAAGTTAATAAATGGTACTTTGTTTCTAGAGAATGTTAATTCATTCAAGAGGATGCTTAGCAACCTAAAGTTTAATAAAGTTAATAAAGGTGCTCAAAAAGATAGAAAATCTGTATCACAAAATGTAAATGTAACATATCACAGATACTTTATTTATAGTAAAAAAAATATTAGCTAAAATATATTATTTTTACTGACACTTTGTTCATGGGCTCTCTTGACAAAAGAGGTTGTTATGTAGTATTCTCAAAGGAGTAATTTACAAAGGATACTTGAAAGTTTAGGCAGTGAAGAGATGAACAAATAAACTGCTCAGCCCTTAAGTAGTTGATTACTACAGAGCTTTTAAAACCTTTTGGGAAAAAAAAAAAAACACCCAATATGTAAAAAGTAAGTGATGCTCAGCTCCTAGTACCACCCCCCACCCCCAGCACCCCAATATTCATATCCAGATAGCCTCTGTGGTAGGCTTCAGGGTGGCTTTAACACTCCATGCAGCAGTTTGAAAACTACTGCCCTACCATCAGTGAAATGCTTATGAATTTAAAGCTTCAGAACCTCAGTTTTAATGACCAAATGAAGACCTGATCTTTTTTCATTTCGGTCTCATTAGATAAAAAACATATTTTCAAAAATTTAAACAAAGATAAATATCCTGGTGGGCAAGGAAATAATGTTTTCAAACTGAAGAATTTAAAATGATTTCCTTTATTGTTTAGTATGTACCTCTTTGATGTACCAAGTAAACTGCATTGATTTCTAAGATAAACAAGAAATTTTCTTACATCACAATGTACTTTCACCTGTTTTACCATGTAAATACTAAACAATATATTCTTTTCACTTTTCAATAGGGTTGTGTATGGGGTGTTGCTTACAGACTGCCAGCAGGAAAGGAAGAAGAAGTAAAAGCGTACCTTGACTTCAGAGAGAAAGGAGGCTACAGGACCACAACAGTCATTTTTTATCCAAAAGATCCCACTACAAAACCATTCAATGTGTTGCTATATATTGGAACACATGATAATCCTAATTACCTTGGTCCTGCACCTCTGGAAGATATTGCTGAACAAATCTTTAATGCAGCTGGTCCAAGTGGAAGAAATACAGAATATCTTTTTGAACTTGCAAATTCTATTAGGAATCTTGTGCCAGAAGATGCAGATGAGCATCTTTTCTCTTTGGAAAAATTAGTAAAAGAACGTTTAGAAGGAAAACAGAACCTCGACTGCTTATAAAGACCTAATCATTGACTTTTCCAGAGAAGCAGAACTTTTAGTCTTCAAGAATAGTTGCACTGCACAATGACAATATGATTTGGAAACATATTTACTTGAAGATCTTATTTATTTTTAATGTTGTAGTCAAGATATCATCAAAATTTATAGTTAATTCCAAGTGTCCCGAAACACATATATATTCAAAGTATATGGTATAGTTAAAGAAAAAATTCAATTGTATATTGAACACTTGATCATGAGAAGTTCTTTAGAAAAATACAAGAAATTTCACAGCTTGTTTTTTAATCAGAGTAAAAATAATTTGTTCTTTCATATGACAATACTATTTTGAAGTTGTAGAGAATTAACTCAAAAATCCAATAAATATAATAAGGTATACCTTCAATATATTCCTATGCAATAATTCTGTTACCATGGTTTAAAATATACAAGCTGAAAATATGTGTAATTAGAAATATATAGTTACTAGAGGCCTGGTGCACAAAATTCGTGCACTGAGGGGGGGGTCCCCTCAGCTGGTCTGCGCCCTCTCGTAGTCCAGGAGCCCTTGGGGGATGTCCAACTACCGGCTTAGGCCCCCTTGGACATCCCTCTCGCAGTCCGGGAGCCCTCGCTCCTTACCGCCCACCTGCTCACTGCTCCTTATCACTCGGCTCGCTGCTCCTTAGCACTGCCGCGGAGGCGGGAAAGGCTCCAGCCACTGCCACTGCACTCGCCAGCCATGAGCCCGGCTTCTGGCTGAGCAGCGCTCCCCCTGTAGGAGCGCACTGACCACCAGAGGCAGCTCCTGTGTTGAGCGTCTGCCTCCTGGTGGTCAGTGCACATCATAACAACCAGTCGTTCTGGTCATTCTGCCATAACAGTTGCTTAGGTTTTTATTATATAGATAAGATTTCAGCTTTGATTAGAAATTTCCTTGTTCAGTTATTAATACCCCTTCCAAATTTAAGGCCCCCAAAATTAGCATGTTTAATATAAAAATTTCCTATGCATCTCCCTTTTTGAATAAATGCATTTTACTACATGGAAAAAAACTCATTCAGCTAAAAAAGCACAAATTACATATTATAAATCCACTGACAATGTAGTCTGTCATTCACTTTGTATTAATCTTAAAGTAAAATGTTTAAAAGATGGGTATTCTAATATTATAAATTAACAAACATATTAATTGAAAGTTTGGTGTTTTGATTTTTTTTAAATATATTTTATTGATTTCAGAGAGGAAGGGAGAGGGAAAGAGAGATAGAAACACCAATGATGAGAAAGAACCATTGCCCTGGCCGGCTTGGTTCAGTGGATAGAGCATCGGGCTGCGGACTGAAGGGTCCCAGGTTCAATTCCAACCAAGGGCACATGCCTGGGTTGCGGGCTCGATCCCCAGTAGGGGGTGTGCAGGAGGCAGCCGATCAATGATTCTCTCTCATCATTGGTGTTTCTATCTCCCTCTCCCTTCCTCTCTGAAATCAATAAAGAAATTAAAAAAAAAAAAAAAGAGAAAGAACCATTGGTCAACTGCCTCCTGCACGCCACCCACTGGGGGTCGAGCCCACAAGCCAGGCATATGCCCTTGGCCGGAATTGAACCTCAGACCTTTCAGTCCACAGGCCGATGCTCTATCCACTGAGCCAAACCAGCTAGGGCGAAAGTTTGGTGTTTTTAAGGTCTTTTAGAATGATAAATTTTTTTAATTAAAAAAAAAATGGCATTGAGTGGGTTTTTTAAAATAGATGTTTCTACTTCTACTCCAGGCCAATCACTTGCTGTACAGATTTTTTCCTCTTCTGTCTTGTCACCTAAACAAGACTTCTGCTGAATTAGTGTTGATGGTGCCACTAAGTAGGAAATGTATAATAATAATATACATTATTAATTCATGTAGAATTAGCCTTGATTCAAACTCATCAGATTATTTCTTTCTCAAAAGGATATAGTCTCTCTAAAAATCTTTCAATATGAAAAGAATTTCAGTATCACATTAAATCTGATACGAAACAATAAAAATTCTTTTAACCCAGTCATGACTAATAGTACAGAATAAAAATAAAGCTGTCCTGTGTGATGATTGTGGGAAGGGGGGGAGGAGAGTGAAGGTGCAAGAGGGTTTAGAGGGTAATAAGTGGTGATGGAAAAAATAAAAGAAATAAGCTTTCTGGAGGAGACATATAAATAAATATGAAAACAAAAATAAATAAATAAAGCTGCCCTACATAGTAGGAATGGTAATTCTTTTCATGTTTTTCTATTAACACTTTTCTTAGTAATTTACTCAGCTCTATAGCTTTTTAAATATTTTCCAACACTTTCAGTATTAGTGTTCCAGAAGGCATTTCATTTGTCCTGTACAAGAAAAGTACTGACATTCACTAATGAATATTGCATAAGGATATACCAGGCAATTACATATGAAAGCATTTTCTCAATAACACCTCTAAACTTGTTCCCAGAGTAACCTGCATACAGTTATACATCTAATAAGTAGCAGAAATCCAGGTTTCTTTGACTCAAGCACAAGATCTTTCTACAATATATTTTAAAAACCATCTGAACTTAACCATCTTAACTACCCTGCATTTTTTTCTTTAAGAGGTAAACAAGATTAATGTTTTGTATAATGAAATAGTACATAACTTATGACATAAAGATGCTAGAGTTAATTTTGATAGATATATAGAGAGATTCCAACAAATACAATGGGCCTATCCAAGATTCACATGCTGTAGCTCACAATCACATAGGTGAGTTCAAAGATCTAGCCTTTTATTTTACAAGGTTAGGTCCAAAGGAGTTTGTGACTCCCCAGAGATTCTTCTATCACTTAATACATAACAGAATATTAAGGGGGAGAATTACTTTGTGATCCTCATTTAAATGCCTTTCTAGCTTTCAGTTAGGAATTAGACAAACCCTGGCTAGTGTGGCTCGGTTGGGTGTTGTTCTGTGCACCAAAAGGTTGCTGGTTCAATTCCCGGTCAGGGCATGTGGCTGGGTTGCAAACTAATACCAAATAGGGCGTGTACAGGAGCAGGCGATGGATGTTCCACTCTCACATCGATGTTGCTCTCTCCCTCACCCTTCCTCACTCTCTAAAAATCAATAAAACTTTTTTTAAAAGAAGTTAGACAAGAAAATATGTGAACATGCATGTGGCATGCCATCAACACTAATAGGGAGGCCCTGTTCCAAAAGGCCCAGGAACAGGGATATTCCTTTTCATTGAGATGGAGAGAAACAGAACTAAAGTGGGGAAGTTAAACAGTACTGAATTAGAGAGAAGCTAGGGTTTGGAGCCTCCAAATCAGCAAGAATCATAACAAAGGTACCAATTACCTAGAGCTTACTTTTGTTAGCAAAACTAAGTCTCTCTCTACTGGCCTTGGAACTCACTTCTAAAACATTTTCTCTCATTGTGATCTATTCACACACAAATATCAGGCTCTCATTTCTCGGAATACAAAGAGTTAGGTGATATGTATTAGGGATTCAAGTGTGAGTATAAACCCTCCATTGAGAAGACACCTGTAATATAAATCTCTAATTGAGTGGATTTTTTAAAATAAGTGTTTCTACTCCTACTCCAGGCCAATCTTAAATTTCCTTTTCCCACTCCCAAACAACACATTCACTGTTCAATCTACTAAGAACTATAAATAAGTACCATTTTATAAATACCACCTCCACACATAAAAGGTTTATCAGCCCGGCCATTGTGGCTCAGTGGTTGAGTGTCAACCCATACACAAGAGGTCACTGGTTTGATTCTCGGTCAGGGCACATGTCCAGGTTGTGGGCTCGATCCCCCATAGGGGGCATGCAAGAGGCAGGCGATCGATGTTCCTCTAATGGATGTTTCTATCTCTCCCTCTCCCTTTTTCTCTAAAATCAATATCAATAAAAACATTTATTTTAAAGTTTATCATTTAGGGAAACAAAGATTGTTGTACTGTCAACTTTGAATACTTTAAAGCATGAATGTGATCCATTTCTTTAAGACTGATTTTAAAAGTTTGACCATTGGGAGAAACCAAGATGGCGGCATAGGTAAACACCAGAAATTGCTGCCTCGCACAACCACTTCAAAAATACAACTAAAAGACAAAACGGACATCATCCAGAACCACAGGAAGGCTGGCTGAGTGGAAATTCTACAACTAGAAGGAAAGAGAAAAGCACTGAGACTCAGAGGAGGTGTGGAAGTAAAGTGCAGAGGTATGGAGGCGCACGCCGAAAGGGCTGGCAGCTGAGGACTCGGCGCACGTGGAAAGGGCTGGCGGCTGAGGACGTGGCGCACGTGGAAAGGGCTGGCAGCTGAGGACGCGGTTGTCTTTTTCAATCAGGAGGGAGTCTCGAGCTCCTGACTGCTCTGAACTCCAGTTCCGGGTGAGTCTCTGGGGACCCAGACTCATACGAGGAGAAACTGGACTGTCTGGCATCGGGCAGAACTCGAGGGCAGCTTTCTCTCAGAGGTGCTTGCAGCGATTACCAGGACACTGAGACGCGGGGCCTCTTAGTGTAGGACTGGGGAGCAGCCATAGCTGCTTGCTCCGCCCTGTTGATCCCCTGAGACCCTGCCCCACCCAAGCTGTGCACAAAGCCTTTTGCATATGAAAGGCCTGGCCCTTTGCAACCTGAAAATTACCTAACAAACTGCAGCTGAATCAGAGTGACCCAGAACTTCCAAAAGAAGGTCCTAGGCCCCACAGCAGCTTGCATTGCTTCACAGCTGGGCCTATCTGGGCACCTCCAAATCCCAAACAAAGAAGAGGAATCTGCAGATCTCTCTGTAGCTCCTGCTGGGTAGCCTCAGGCAGAGGCTAAATTAGAACCTCCTTAGAGATCCAAGAGCCAGCGTACCCAGTGGTCAGAGTGGGACCATCCAGATTACAACTCCTCAGATCCATAAGGGACACACTCAGGGGGCAGACACAGTGAGCACCAAAGCCCAACTGAAGCAAGTCTCGCCCCAGAAGGGTGTCTTCAGCACAGAAGTTCTCCCACTGCAGACTCAGCTGATTCTCACAGCCAATTGGCCTGGAGGTCAATTCCTCCCAGTGATACCTACAACCATCAAGACTTAACTACAACAAGACTGTGCACAAAGCCCACAAAGGGGTGCACCTAGAGTGTCCACCTCAGGTAATTGGGGAGGCTGACCCACTGGGCCCTACAGGACACCTAGCACACAAAGCCACTCTATCAACACAGGGAAGCATAAAAATGCGGAGACAAAGAAACAAGTCACAAATGACAGAAATGGAGGAAAGCAAACTACTGGATATAGAGTTCAAAGCCACACTTTTAAGGTTTTTTAAGAATTTTCTAGAAACCGCCGATAAATTTAGTGAGACCCTCAAGAAATCTAGTGAGACCACCGATAAATTTAGTGATACCCTCAAGAAATCTAGTGAGACCCTCGAGGTTATGAAAAAGGATCAACTAGAAATTAAGCATACACTGACTGAAATAAAGGATATTATGCAGAGTTCCAACAGCAGAATAGAGGATCGCAAGAATCAAGTCAAAGGTTTGAAATACGAAGAAGCAAAAATCACCCAACCAGAAAAACAAAAAGAAAAAAGAATCCAAAAATACGAAGATAGTGTAAGGAGACTCTGGGACAACTTCAAGCGTACCAACATCCGAATTATGGGGGTGCCAGAAGAAGAAAGAGAGCAAGATATTGAAACCTATTTGAAGAAATAATGACAGAAAACTTCCCCTACCTGGTGAAAAAAATAGACTTACAAGTCCAGGAAGCGCAGAGAACCCCAAACAAAAGGAATCCAAAGAGAACCACACCAAGACACATCATAATTAAAATGCCAAGAGCAAAAGACAAAGAGAGAATCTTAAAAGCAGCAAGAGAAAGACAGTCAATTACCTACAAGGGAGTACCCATACGACTGTCAGCTGATTTCTCAACAGAAACTATGCAGGCCAGAAGGGAGTGGTAAGAAATATTCAAAGTGATGAATAGCAAGAACCTACAACCTAGATTACTTTACCCAGCAAAGCTATCATTCAGAATTGAAGCTCAGATAAAGAGCTTCACAGATAAGAAAAAGCTAAAGGAGTTCATCACCACCAAACCAGTATTATATGAAATGCTGAAAGGTATCCTTTAAGAAGAGGAAGAAGAAGAAGAAGAAAAAGGTAAAGATACAAATTATGAAGAACAAATACACATCTATCAACAAGTGAATCTAAAAATCAAGTGAATAAATAATCTGATGAACAGAATAAACCGGTGAATATAATAGAATCAGGGGCATAGAAAGGGAGTGGACTGACTATTCTCAGGGGGAGGGAAGGGGTGTGGGGGGTGTGGGAAGAGACTGGACAAAAATTGTACACCTATGGATGAGAACAGTGGGGCGGGGGGGTAAGGGCAGAGGGTGGGGTGGGAACTGGGTGGAGGGGAGCTATGGGGGGAAAAAGAGGAACAACTGTAATAATCTGAACAATAAAGATTTAATTTTAAAAAATAAATAAATAAAAGAGATGTCAGAAAAAAAAAAGTTTGGCCATTGGTTAAACAGCATGCTATTAAACAATGATTGGGTTACCAAAGAGATCAAAGAAGAAATAAAAAGCATCCTGGAATCAACTGACAATGAAAACACAACAATCCAAAAATCTATGGGACACAGTGAAAGCAGTCCTGAGGAGGAAGTTTATAGCTCTACAGGCCCACCTCAAAAAACAAGAAAAATGGTAATAAATTATCTAACCCTGCAACTTAAAGAATTAGAAAGAGAGCAACAAGAAAAGCCCAAAGTAAGCAGAAGGAAATAATAAAGATCAGAATGGAAATAAACGACACAGAGACAAAAAAAAAATACAAAAGATCAATAAAACCTAGTGCTGGTTCTTTGAAAAGATAAACAAGATTGATGAACCTCTACTCAGGCTCACCAAGAAACAAGAGAGAGGACCCAAATAAACAAAATCAGAAATGAGAGAAGTAACAACCAACCCCCCAAACATACAAAGGATCGTAGAAAAATACTACAAACAATTCCAACAAACTGGACAACCTTGACGAAGTGGACACATTCCTAGAAAAATACAAGCTTACAAAACTCAATCAGGAAGAATCAAGATTTGGAAACAGCCTAAGTGCCCATCAGCAGATGAGTGGATTAGAAAACGGTGGTACAGCTACACAATGGAATACTACGCTGCTGTAAAAAAGAAGGAATTCTTACCATTTGCAACAGCATGGATGGAACTGGAGAGCATTATGCTAAGGGAAAGTCGGAGAACGATAAATATCACATGATCTCACTCATTTGTGGAATATAGAGAACAACATAAACTGATGAACAAAAATAGAACCAGAGACACAGAAGCATGGATCAGACTGTCCAACCTCTGAGAGAAGGCGAGGGGTGAAGGGGTAAGAGATCAACCAAAGGCCCTAGCAGGTCTGGCTCAGTGGATAGAGTGTCAGCCTGTGGACTGAAGGGTTTTAGGTTCGATCCTGGTCAAGGGCATGTGCCCAGGTTGCGGGCTTGATCCCTAATGGGGGGCATGCGGGAGGCAGCCAATCAATGATTCTCCTCATTGATGTTTCTATCTCTCCCTCTCCCTTCCTCTCTAAAATCAATAAAAATATATATTTTTTAAAAAGAGATCAACCAAAGGACTTGCATGCATGAGTATGAGCATAACCAATGGACACAGATGGGGGAGGGCATGTGCTGGGGGGAAGTGGGGAGGGGCGGCCGGGGAGAGGTCAATGGGGGGAAAAGGAGACTCATGTAATACTTTAAACAATTTAAAGAATGTAAAATAATAATAAGTAAATAAATAACTACTCTTCCTGCTTTATGATTTGGTTCAAATTGGGATGGGGGGGGGGGGGGAACAGTCTTTAGCAGATCTAGAGAAAGATTTAGCTTTTCCCACCACCAGAAAGACAATGATAGGTGCTCTTTGGCTAACGCTGTGTAACCCATCACGTTAGAAATTAAAACAGTGGCATTGTTAAAAAAGAGGTGTAGGAGACCCAAACTTTCTGTCTGATTTTGAATGCAGGCAGATGTGTCTTAACCTCACGTGATTCATAACCTCACATTCACTTGGCCCTGAAACCTCACATAAGGAAACTTGGCTTCATTGATAAAAACAACAACCCAACATTTCACCTATGGGATGAAGGAGGGGCCCACGTGGGGTAAAAATAAATAAATACATTTTTTAAAAATGTCGGGACAGCGCTACCCAGCTGCCCGCCCCCCGGGGAGGACTAGGCGCTCTCACACTGTGCCGGGTTTCCCCCGCGGGCATCCCTCCCCGGCGCTGCGGGACCGAGCCACCTGCCGGCGTTAGTTAGTTCCCGGAGGCCCGCCGCCCACCGCGGAAGAGGCGGGGGAGCCTCCGCGGGAGGGGCAGCTGCAGAAGCTCGGTGCGGGGACGGGGGAACGAAAAGCGGCCGGAGGGGAGAGCAGTAGGACCACCGTCCCTCCTCGCGTGGCACCACGTCCAGTTTCCTCGTCCAAGGACCAGACCGGGGCCCCTCACACGATTCCCGCGCCCGTGCGCGTCAAACTGCTGCCCGCGCTGGACAGCCGCGCGGGGGGACAGACAGGCGGGCGGGCGGGCGCGGCCACCGCCTCCCGGACTCACCGGTTCTCTGTGCCGTCACTCCTCCGCCGAAAAGACTGGTCCGAGGCCCGGTCTTCAGGCGTCTCCTTCCGGGAGGCCGCTGCGTTCGATTCCCCCGCGAAACTGCGGTTGTGGGAAACCAGCAGAGCCCAGCCGCTATCCCGGCTTCCGTAGCGCCTGCCCGGTGACCCCGGATGTTGATACTCCGCCTGCCCCGGAAACGGTGGCGGGTGGCCCACGGGGGCAGGGGCGGCGTAGCCCGGCTCTCCGGAAGGAGACGTGGCGGCGGTTGGGCCCTGGGCTGCCTGGGCGTTTAAGTAGTCCCGCCGCCTCCTCCTCCTCCTCCCCTCCTCTCCTCTGTGGCAGAGGAGGTTGTGTCGGCGGCTGGTGAGATCGGCGGTGGAGGATGGAGGAAGGAGGCGCGGCGCGCGGAGTCTGGGCCCGGGCGGACCGGTGCTCTTGGTCCTCTGCGGCCTCCTAGAGGCGTCCGGCGGCGCCCGAGCGCTCCCCCAACTCAGCGATGACATCCCTTTCCGAGTCAACTGGGCCCGGCACCGAGTTCTCTCTGGTCAGTGCCCTCGCGAGTCCGTAGGCCATCTCGCTTCCCCCCCGGCGTTCAGGGTTGGGCCCTTTGGTCGGGTCTTTCTGCGCTTTGTTTCCTCCTAGGACCACCGGTGCAGGCGCGTGCCTCCTCCCCCCTCCAAAACTCGGGGCGCCCCGCGTCCGTTCATTCATTCATCTAGACCGCAAGTGTTTCCCGAACACAGGATGTGGAGGTGCCCCCAGGCTGAGCCCTGGGGACCCAGCGACCAGCCGATCACTGTTAGATCTGTCGCACTAGACTCGCTTTCCCCACGCTCCCTCCCCGGGGAGGAGGGCTTCCTACCACCACGGCAGGAGAGCGCTCTTCCTTCTCTTTGGAAAGTCACTGCAGCTGTTGCACACCGCCCTGCCCACACACCCCGGTTCCCGCCGAGAGGAGTCCCCCCTCTCATTCTTCCTCGTTCTTCTCTCTCTTATGCGCACACGTCCGTCTCTGCACAGCTCGTCTCCCTTCAGAGCTGTGTTTGCGATGGCTCTTTGGCCGGAGATGTTCACGATGCTCCGTGTAGAATATCCTTTACAGTTTTGATGCATTACGACTGCTCATGACGATCCCAGAACGTGAGGTTTTTATGATGAGTTTTCCAATAATGAACATATATATAACCTCACCGTAATGAAATTCTGCGGTCCTTCCCTTTGGGGAGTCGATTGCTGAAAAGTCTTCCTATCCACTGTCAGCCAATGAAAATGGTGCGTATCTGATACTTACCCTGTAGTGATTGATTTGTTTCAAACTGAAGCCCTTGGAAATGGAAAACTTTTTAAAATTTTTTTATGCCAATTACCTATAGTCATTCCACTTGGGAAACTATCTTAGTATATTGCTCTATTACTATTTCATTGAAACAACATGTACCAGGAAAAAGGATGTCATCCTTGCCGCAACCAGTTTCTATTTGCAAATGTTCGTTTTTTGCTACTATTTCACACCTGCTTTATTTCTCCGCCCCACCCTCCCCCCGGTTTTCAGTTCTCTTACTCTGGCAGTTCAGATTTATCTAAGTAAATATTTGTCTGGGAAGACAGGTTTATCTTTGGGTTAATGCCATGAAATACAGGGTGGGGCAAAAGTAGATTTACAGTTGTAAGTACACAAAACAGAGTTTATTCTTGTATAATTATTAATCGTTGTATTCTTTTCCATAGGAACAACTATAAACCTACTTTGCCTCCCCCTGTATTGATAATATATACATACCAGCTGTGAGTCAGATATAACTTTAGCAGGGTTGGGGTTATTGTTTCCAGACAGCACACATGGAATGAACATAACAAATGTTTAAAGAATTTGGTCATTAAAATGTTTTACTCTTGCACCTGTGTTGTTGTTTTTTTTCTTTAATTTAAAAACTCATGCCGATATATGGCCCTACCAAACTCACCAACCTAGAAGTGGATGATTTAAATTAGCCTTTTTAGAGGAGACTACCCAGTTATTATTCAGTTTTCTTTCTGGCACTGCTGTTTACTAGCTAAAAAGAGGAAATGCTATACCAACCTTTTACATATCTATCAATTTTATTTTGAAATTTTGTTTTTAATTACTTTTCTTAGGCAATGCATAATCTAAGATGGGGACAGTTGAAGATTTGGGGAGACTTATTTTTTTTTATTTTTTTTTAAGTTTGAGTTACTTTCAGAAAAATCTAGATACATTTTTCTATGAGTTGGCAAAAGGTCTGTAGACCTCAGGCAAAAATAAGCCCCAAGAGACATCATTGGTTTTTTGATTTTTTTAAAAACTATTTTTATAGTCTTAAGGCTTCCCTATCCTACTTTATGTAATTGAAACTGCAGCTCTCCTCACCTGGCACTGTCGTTTGTTTTTTTATGGGCCAGTTGGTTGGACATTTGTGTAAAACTAAGCAGCTGCAAGAAGTAGGGAGAGGGCCTTTATCTCTCTGCCATCTAAAATTGGAAGGGACTGGATTAGATCTGGATTCCTTTTAGATCTAAAAGTATTTTGTGCTTTAAATCATCGTCCCATTCATATACATCAAGAAATACATAATCATTACAATCTTCCAAATTTATTTGGAAAAAGTATTAAGCACCAAAAATTGGTAAATTTTAAAATGTTTACATTAATTAATTATGATAGTCTTTACTGGTTTTTAGCATTAAATTTTGTCTGTGTATATATTTTCCTTCTGAAATATCACTTCTAGGTCATTAAAGTGTTCAATTTTATTCATTACTTCACGGAGTTCATGGATTTTAAAATAAAACTACAAAATAAGTCTAATTTTCTCTACGTCTGTTGTTAATATAGAAATGTATTCCCACTCAAAAACTTTCCTCAAACACTGCACTTTGGAAGAGTGGTGACCTACTCCATGGGAGTTCCGAGCATGTTATATATGTTGACAAGTTGTGCCACTGACTTTATTTTACAGCCTTTCGGATAGTTTTGTCTCTCGTTCTCTATCTTAATTCCTCCAGACGCATGTCAAACATTGGGATTTCTCCCCTGTCTAGATATTTGTAAAGTTCTTTAACCTTAAAGTACCAAGCCCCTTTGTTTAGTGTCATTATATTAAAATATGATATTTATCAAGTCACTAATATTACCTGTTACAATGAAAATACTTTAAGGTTTAATTTACATAAAACAAGTTTTTACACCATCTGTAATTCTGTACATGCAGAATTTATTTTATTTTCTTAAATTAAGAGCCTGTTTCATAAAATCAGAAGGAAGCATTTTAGTAGTAGATCGAAAAAAAATTTTTAACTTAGAAAATCACAAAAGTTTTTAAAATGTTACTTTTTCCAAGTAATTTCCATTACAAAAAATAAGGGTAAAGTTTGTTACAAATTTTTCTTTATCATCCCAATAAGTGACCAGTGAAGAATTTTCAGATAGAAGAATTTCTTCTGGGTCTGTTTTATTGATGAGGAAAGCAGCCCTTCCTGAGCTAATGAAAGACAAATCTTTGCATCTTCACACAAAATAGTGATGGCTTCTATTTCTTGTTACCCCTTCCCTAGACCTTGAAAACAAGCAGAGAAATGAGTTTTTGGGGTTTGTTTGTTTTTTTTGTTGTTGTTGTTTTTTTTTACTGATTTCAGAGAGAGGAAGGGAGAGGGAGAGAGGAATGGAAAAGTCCATCAGAGAGAAACATCGATTGGTTGCCTCCTATACGCCCTCTACTGGGGATTGAGCCTGAAACCTGGGCAGGTGCCCCATTGGGAATGGAACAGGTGACCTCTTGCTGCATGGGGCAAACAGTTCCTTTTTCCATTGTTAGCATTGTGGTGAACATGTCAGCAAATAAGTCGATATTGCTATAGAATTCAACTCTGAGCATTAGAGCTGCAGATACTTCACAAATAAAGGCGAATACATATATGTGCTAATATCTGCCTTCATTACAGTACAGCAATGATTTTACAATAATTCAGACCATCCATTGTTAAGAAATGTGAGTCATGTTTGAAGAACTCACTATCATATACGTATACTGAATATTGTAAAACATTGAGAGGCATTATGCTACAGGAGTTTATTGGCTCAACTAAACAAGTGTTTCTAAGTATTCCATTAGTGTAAATTTGACTTTACAACTCTAACTTTCAAATCTTTTTTATTCCCCTCTTATAATAATCTTTTTTAAAAGGATCCTGGGACAGGGGGTAGTAAAAGGTAAAAGGGGCCAAATATGTGGTGACAGAAAATGATTTGACTTTGGGTGGTGGGCACACAATGCAATATACAGATCATGTGTCATAGAAATGTACACTTGAAACCTATATGATCCTATAAACCAATGTCACTCCAATAAATTTAATTTTTTTTAAAAAAGATCCTTGACCATAAACCAGGAATCTATATAGTAATCTAAGAAAATGTTAACAAAAGCTGATTGAAATACATTAAAACAGTTAAGAGCACAGAATATGGAAACTGTACTTACTAGCTGTGTTACCTTGGACAAGTTATTTAAACTCTGGACTTCAGTTTCCTTTTCTTTAAGATGGATAGAACACTTGTTTTGAGGAGCAAGGAGTTAATAACTGTAAAGGACTTAAAATTGTACTTTCATGTAGCTAATGCAGCTTATATTTATTGCTATTTTTTCATTTCGATTTATTGTCTTGGGAAAACATTGCCCTAATTTGCATTTGTGTTTAAGATGACATTGGTGTCAAGTAGTACTGATTTTATTATGGTTAAACGTTGTTTTTGTTAAATTGAGAAAAGAACAAAGGTACTTAATAGTATAGCCAAATAGTATAGTGGTTTCATAGTACTGTAAGAAGAGAAAAGATAAGAGAGAATTGAATTATCATAGAACACATATGATAGACTGTGATATCTCTGCCTTAGTAGTTAGTAACACATTTGCTATCATGGAGATTTTTTTTTAATAATATCAGTTATTAATGAAATGTTCATTTGAATTACATTGGTTCATATTTGATTTTTGAATTTGTTTTGCTTCATAGTATAGAAAGATTTAGGGATAGTTTTGTTGATATATATATCAGGAGTTGGTAAATAACACCTTTGGGCTTGCCCACCACCTGTTTTTGTAAATAAAATTTTTTTATA